GTGGGAAGTGTCAGGCTTCAGAGGCCTCCTCGAGTGGGTGAGGAGGAGGAAGAGCGAGGAGGTGCAGGACAAGAGGAGCGGGGAGGAGCTGAGCCAAGCACACGGCTTCCCGGGAAGCCCCATGAGTGGGGTGTCTGTCACGGAGCAGATGGCCAAACCACTCTTGAATGCAAATCCTTCATCAGCCAGACATCTCACACCTGTAGCCATTAAAGTAAGTCACATCTGGTGGGTAGATGTGTATGAGGAGGCTGATTAGATTTTAATTCCCATGGAGATGAATAGCTGGCTACGGCCAGGTAGAGGGAGAGGAGTGATGCTTGTCTCCCTTGGTGTCTTTTCTCAGTGCTTTGGTTTCATCCAGCAGCAATCCAGACTTGTGGTGGCCCCAGCTCTTCCCAGCCTGAAGAGCTCTGATGTGCATACTGCCTGTGGTACCTTTGACATGGCATGCAGATATCAGAAGTGCCTGCAATGGTCCAGTTTATGTTAAAATAATGAATATTAAAGTTGGTTTCATGTTCTAGAAAATTGAAACCCCTTCTCTCCTCACATGAAGAAATCTGGAACAGATAAGTTAATTCCAGCAAAGTTTATGTAAAGAAATATTGTAATTGAGCTGTTCCAAATACTGCATGGTTTTTTTTGCAAGAGATCTGTCTGAAATGTATCGCTTTAGCTGATTGAAACAGACCGTCCTTTTTACAGCATTGGGAGCTTTGATCTTACCATTGCTCATTCTTGTGCAGGTCTTGCACCCTGGGCTAGTCCACCAAGTCCAGATGGATCTGTTCCTCATGAAGATGGGTAGCTATGTCATTGGACTTCTCCCTGGATTCAAGTGGCTCAGTTTGACGGAGATTGTGGAGGAGTTTGAGAAGCTTATGATTCAGCAGGTGTGCACCATGCCATGGCCCCCATGTACTGAAACAAACTTGCCCTTTGTCTTGCTACTGGCTAGCTCTAATTCTGTTCATACTGCTACTTTTCAAATGGTTAGGTGAAGGCTTGCTTGTTCTTATGTTCTTTGTTCTCATCAGTCACATAAATTTTACTGTAGGAAAGCCTATATGCTCATGAAGTAAAAAAGCAAAGCAATGAAAAAATTTAAGTCAGATGTGCCTTGAGGTCATTAGTACCGGTTTAGTCTGGCAGAACTTTTGATGTATGCTCTGAAGATTGAGGATTAGGAGAGCATCTGATAGGCTTGTATTTTCCTTTCATTTCTCTTTGAAAGAGCAAGAGGTATTCCTGGAATATTTCCCATTGCTGGATGAAGGAAGTCAGGCAAGGTTTTTCTCCTTGAGCAGTGGCAGTGGGCAGGAAAGATGGCCTTGTTTCAAGGATCACTGAAAAGCTGGGGCCAGGACTTTGGATAGTGGATTATTTTGTATGTGTCACATTAAATTCCTTCCTGCTGTGACTGCCTATCTGTAAAGTGAGGCTAGGGCTGCAGTTCTACCCCTATCTGCCTGCCTTGCTATATGGACAGTAAGCTTTGGTTCAGGATCGGTTTCACCCTTGAAAATAATGCAGTCCTGGCCTTTTTTTGAGGCACCATGCCTTTAGTAAGGGTCACTCGCATTCCAAAGGCACTGGGTTGTGGGCCATTCATTACAGAGTCTGTTGCTCTACTCTTCCATCAGAAAAGCTATAAACATGTAAGAAGTACCACTGTTGTTTTACTTCTGGCTTTCTGACTAGTTTTTTTGGTATTGAGTATCACACCGTCTACTCATATCCTTATACAGGATCCTGAAGGTCTAATTGCATCAAATTTCCAACCTGCTTTTTCTTTTTCTCCATTGAGATTGACTTACGGTATGAAGCCAGAAATCTGGAGCGCTTCCGACAAAATTTCCTAGATGTCGATTTTGTGAAGTTTCCAACTCCCCTTCGGCCATTGGTAACGACAGATGTTCTAGTGGAAACGTTTGAGGTAAGAATTGCAGGGTCTGAGAGTGGTGGCAGCAGTGAGAAGGCCCTTAGGAGAACCTGCCAAGGAGATGTTTGGATTTTTATCAGAGACAGAAGGTTGCTTTTCTCTTATTTGCTTAAAGAGATTGGTACCCTTCCTCAGCATCTCTTCCACTCTCTTTGTTTGTAAGCAGTGCGTCCCAGAAGACAGGTGGCAGACAGCTCCATATAGAAGTGAACACTTGGCCTGAAAAGCAGACCAACACTGTGTCCAGCCACCATGTGCTTGCCTGTGCTTTGCAAAACAACACCACGCTTCATCTCTCCTCTGTGGTGGGTCAAAGCAAGGAGCTCAGCAATCTGACACTCTTTGATGCTTGTCTCACTTCCTCTGTGGATGTTTGAGTCACAGACCAAAGTTATGCTCAGCCTTAGTTTTCATGCATGTGATCTTGGCAAGGATATTTCTGCCCCAGGCTGTATCACTCTTTTTCCAAAGAACAAACCCTTGCTTCTTTCATGTTCTCCATCACAGTACATACAGCCTCTACTGAGCAGCTCCTTTCTAGGATATTCTTAGCACCTTCCCTCAACTCTGGGCACTTAGGTAAAGGTGTGGTTGAAGGTGGAACACAAGGTGTGTTTGACTCCAGCTCCATCTTTATTTCAGGAGAGCGAGCCTATTTCGCACTACCTGCACACGGAGATTGCCACAGAGCTGAGGCAGAGACTCGCAAAGATGGGCATGGACATGCTGCTAAAGATGGTAGGCACTTGGCTGAGACTGGAAGTAAAGGTTGTTTTCCTGCAGAAGCAATTCAGTTGGGGTAATAAGACAATACGACTACAGGGAGAACCTGTTTGCTTCTCACATCTCTCACCCTTCTCCCCATGGACTCAAAGCTCTGCCTTTTGGAGGCAGCCTGTGGATGCCAGGTACCTCGCCATAACCCAGGATTTGGGCTGCTGGGCACTGGGCAGGTCCTGAACTGGCAGAAGGAGGGTCTGTCCTTCATGCGCAAGGTAATACAAGGTCTGAGTAAAGCCGGGGCTAGATACACCACTGCTGCAGGCTTTGATGTGGAGCTTCTTCCCCTGCAGAAGGGCGATCTGCTTGCATGCAGTAGGATTGCCCTGTGCAACTTGGTCAGTGCACCCACTAATCCATTTAGTGAATATTCACATACTGCCCAAATGCTATAGAAGTGCAATGCAATTAGCAAATATAGAGTTCTCTGCAGAGACTGTGGGTGCAACTTGCAGGGAAAGCAGCTAGCTAGTTTCTTCATTTATTGACTTCTCCAAAACTGCTTTTTTTTTTTTTTTTAAAAGGAGAACTATGGAGTAAAGAAAACAAACCTGGCCAGATTCACTTTATGATTCAGCTTCTGGCTGTGTGGTTCCTCTGTGGTTGAAATAATTACAAATGATCTGGAAGGAGTGTTGAGAGGGTGACACAATTGTCTTATGAGGAGCCATGAGAACTATTAGGGTAGAGTTGCAAAAGAACCTCACAGTACTGAGTGCATGGGCAGTGAGTATCAGATGAAATTCGGCCGATAACTGTTAATTATGCTTGGGTGATGGCAAGGCCTGCAGATCTGACTCCGTGTCATATGAGAGACTCTGAAATGAGCTTTTACCACTCAGAAAAGCAGTGATGGAACTAAAATAGTTTTATGCTAACACTGGCTTCAATAGTTATGAGCAAAGCAAAAAAAATAAAGGTTAGAAGCAGAAAATAATTAAAGAACAAAGAAACAACATGATGGCTATATGTAAAGAACCCACCTGTTTCTTGAATGCTCTGTGTAGTTCTAGACCCTCACTGTCCAGGTCCCTTCATTTCATGGGCTATAATAGGTGTACAGGAAGGCAACCAGGTTGATTACTGGTGTGGAATGGGACTCTTAACTCTGGAAATCAGAGAAATTAGTAGCTTATGATACACAGTCATGAGTGCATGAGAGCGAATATGAATCTGTTGTGTGTGGTTTCTCAAAAGAGAACAATGAGGACAAAAAATTATCAGAGGTCATTTTTTCAGGCAACACCTAAAAAAATAATTTTCTTTTTTTCATGCAGCTCTAATTATTTACATGGCAATTGGACAAATTTGTAGGAGAAAGCAATGAAATGCAAAGATAACCCCCTTGGGGCAGGAAGTCCTGCAGTCCCAGGTGGCCAGGAGGGTTAATGGGCAAGTACTGTCTTGCACTTGTGCTCTTACTAGTCTTTTCTGGTGTTAACTGCTAGTAAAGGCAGAGAAGTGCTACATACATTTGTTTCCTTTTCTCTTTACTTGTTTTCCGTACTATTCAATACAGTTGTACTGTGAGTTGATGTCCCAGGCTAGACAAACTTAATCGTTCGGTCCCCATGTGTTGCCTGATCTAGTCGAGAGGTGGCGTCTCTGGTGACAGGGAGGCTGGATTAGATGACCTCTAAGGTCCCTTCCAGCCTAGGCCATTCTATGATTGTCGTAATGGAGATGATTCACTATAACCTGTTCCCTGCTGGAGCTCCTGGCTGTCCTGCCTGACCTCTAGCAAACACATGGGATTGTTTCACACAGCTCTGCTGACTCCCCTGGAGCGAGTAGCACCCATTCCACTTCAGGATGGCTGGTTTCCAGCAGAAGCCATCTGCTGTGTTGCTGCCCAGGGTGACGCCTGTTAGTAATGACAGCAAACAGACCAGAAACAAACCTGTGCTCTTGGCCTGGGAGTTTTGGCGTGGGCAGGTTTGGTTGTAATGAGCTGCTCTAAGACTTGCCCATCCTCTAGGTCTTTGTTGACAACTTTGTCCACGCTGACCTGCACCCTGGGAACATCCTGGTTCAAGGCACGGCCCACATCAGCGCCAGCTGCAAGGAGCAGACGGCCATCGTGGACCTGTGCGACACGCTCGTGGTGGAAGTGCAGCCGCCCCACAGGCGGCTCTGCCTGGTGCTGCTGGACGCGGGGATCGTGGCGGAGCTGCAGAGCGCCGACTTGCGGAACTTCCGAGCGGTTTTCACGGCTGTGGTCCAGGGCCAGGTGAGACCTCTGTCATGGGGCTGGGGAAGGGAGACAGCTGATGGCCAAAGTGATAGTTCCCTCTTTATTTCCCCTTATAATCCTCCCTAAGAGGGGAGCAAAGACTTGCTAGCATGGAAACTGTACCAGACACAAGGATAAGATGTTCAGCTACAGCCAGAAGGCTGCAAGAGGGGGGCAATTTCAGTGGCCCAGGAAATGGAAGGTGTTTAAGTGGAAAGCAGTGGCTGCCCTGGTCCGGAGTGCTGGTGATGCAGGGTTAGGACTGCCTGGGAGACACATCTGAGACTGTTGCAGAATCTGCTAGGTTTTGGTAGAGAAGAGGAGGGAATGGGTTAACATCTTGGTCTTCCACATGTGTTCCCTTCTGCAACCTTGCCACCGGAAAGCCCATATGCCATCCTCTGTTTTGCTGTTTTGTCAACATCTGTAGAGAAAAGGAAGCAAAACAGGTGCGGGTAAGGGGCTGACCAGGCTTCCCTGTATGAGGGGAACTACTACATCCTCCTTCCCATGTATTTTGAAACACTCAGATGGATCAGAGAATCCTGTGCTGATGTCTCCTGTTCATTCTGAGAACAAGCATCTGTGCTCATACTTGGATGGCTCCAACAACATATCTCAAGAGGGACACATTTTAACCTGGTCTGCTTAATCTGCTGAAGCACACAGAGGAGTCAGTGCTAAACTATGTATTCAGGCCCATCCTGTGCTGCCAGACTTCTCAGATCCTAAGCAAAAACTGCAAATATTTGATTGCAAATATTGACTTGATGTCATCTAACTTGATGTCTGGGTGTAATTCACAATCTACAGATGAAAAACTTCTACACCGAGTCTCTTTGCCAAACCTGGGGCCTCTGGCTCTGTACGTCAGATACGTCTTCCAAGAAGAGCTATAAAAGCCTCTTTCAAGTGAAGTTTTGGGTATGTCTACCCACTTTTTTCACCAAGCATCTGCTGGTACAGAATCAGCTCACTCTTCCTCTGCAGTCTGCAAAGAGAAAGTTGGACTTAGGCCATAAGGGAGCCTGATATATGCCCTTCCTTACACCATTATCTCCTCTGTTAAGAAAATGCCAGTCCTGTAGGTTTTATTTTTCCTCTTGAAAGTTATACTTCTCCGGACTCTTTGTTGTGCTCTACCCTACAAGACCTGCAAGAAAAATAATCAGGGCTTTGCCACATAACAACCAAGACTTTTGGACCAATTCTGCTCTTCCTGCACCTGCCTCTGTTAAGTTTGTTGGGTCTCCATTGCTGAAATGGGAAAACGTGGCCCTGGGAGTTCTCCCTTCAGGATCGCATACAGCAGAGGTCGTGCAGGAATGATGGTGAGCAGCTCCCCGTAGGCCTGCTGGTACCAGTGGTGAAGTTCTCATTCTCCTCTTCAACTTGTTTCACAGGGGGAGAGAGTGGCAGAACTGATCCTTCATCATGCCCGTGCTAACCAGTGCCAGGATATCGAGCGATTCAAAGCTGAGATGGCAGAACTAGTGACCAAGGTCCGGGGGAACACCATTGCCCTAGGAAAGGCAAGTGCACAAACAATGTCCCACCCTCACTTACCTGTAATTCAGGGAAACTTGGCTTTTGGAATGATCTGTGTGGAAAGGCCAGCTCTCATCTCATCATCGCCACCAAACAGTACCGGGTGCTTTTAGTCTCCCAAGTGCAGCAAAAGTCCATAAAATACTTTCTTATTTCCTTCTAATTAAAACCATATGTGTTTGCTTTTTTTTGTTTGGTTGGGTTTTTGGTTAGTTGGTTTGGTTGTTGGATTTCTTTTTTAAAATCTCTTAACATCTGCAGTTCCTAGAGAGGAGTTGCTGAGCCTGATGTTTCAGCTTGCATCCTGTTAGCTAAGGCCAGCCTGGGCACTTCAGAGGGTGTAGTATGGTGGTACTGAGCAAATCAGTACATGTTGTGTGCTGTTATGAGGGCAGACATTCTCAGCCTTCCTGGACTAGCAAGTAAGCAGAACCATGGGTCATAGGTGAACTCCTTATCTCAGGCAGGGTTGGGTGGATCATAGCTTTATGGTGGCTGTTGTCAGCCCAATAATCTTGTCCCACCACAACAAACAAATGCTAACAAACACTTAGAAGAATCCTGCCAGTCACTCACGCATCTCAGTCTTCTTGACCATTGTTTTTATTTTAATCAGTTGTTAACTTCTTTTGTATTGCAGCTTCAGGTGGGAAATCTTCTCTCAAATGTTTTCAAACTACTGATGACCCATAAGGTGAGGTCCTGTCACTGTTTGCCTTTAGTAGCTGGAAGTTGATTTGAGGAGGGAGAACTACTGGGCACATGAAAGGCTGACAAGGAAGGGGACTGTGACTGCTGAAAAATGAACTGTTAGGAGGTGACTGCAGTAATGCATCCAGGTGTTGATACACCTGGATATAATAGTGCATTTAATGGTTGGTATTATTTCCTAAAAGGAACGTTGCTGTAACACATGTTTTTTTACTATCTTTTTCTATAGTCCCTTAGAAGCAGAACATGAAATCTAATGTCTGTTTTGCTTGTCTATCATTGCATGCTTTCTTACCTGGACTTCCTTCTTGATGTGGGGTTTTGTAACAGCCCGAGGCCATTTTACTGGTTTGTTAGAAGCCTCAAAAGGGAGGAGTTGCTCACAGAAGAGAGATTCCTTTTTATAACTGATAGTATTTGGGAGCCAAGCTTCCACAGTTGCAAACAGCTTTGGAAATCAACAGAGCCTTGGTTGCCTGAACTAGAGGAGATGAGAAGGTTGTCAGCCACAGGGCTGCCCAGTCCGCAAAGGGCCCCCCTAAACATTCCTCAGTCAGATGGTTTTGTCATTAAGCCCCATTAAGGTGGTTTCTGATAACATGAAATGTAATTTAGGCCCTTAGAAAGCAAGTCCTCCCAACTCCATGAGTTCTTAATGCTCTGGCATGCTTTGAAACAATGGTGGTGCCTGGCAGGGAATTGGGGAGTAGTTTGTTCATGTGCGGAGTGGAGGATCATTTCCTCTGTGATCTGTGGGGTCCTTTGTGGCTGGTCAGAAGGTGAGCTCTCTCTTACACAAGTGCACATGTTCAGGTACCTTGGATATGAATGCAGCTTATAGCTACGCTAGCAATGGTGAGCACTCCTCAGCTACTGCTATTCCAGTGTGAAAGAAAAAAAAAATCCCATTCCCCTTCTTGGAACTGAAAAGCAAACTCTTGGGCTCCCTTTGAGGGCTCTTACTCTGAAACTGTTGCCTTATTTTGGGGCCTGCTTCTGGATTTTAGTGTGTTCTGAACCTTCAACCGGTAGAGTACAGTTTCAGATAGGCGTATGGTGTCTCCTGCCTCTTCCCTTTCAGCTTAGTCAGAGCTGGTACCTGTGGGGAATGGGCTCAGAAGAAAAAAGTTCCACTGGGTTCATTCAGCTGCTTGTGGTTCTAGGTGAAGCTTGAGAGCAATTTTGCTTCTATCATCTTTGCCATCATGGTTCTGGAAGGTCTTGGTCGTTCACTGGACCCTGAACTGGACATCCTAGAGGCAGCTAAACCACTGCTCATCAAAACTGCAGCTTCTCTCCTCAAATAGACTCCCTTGGCTGCTGCCCTCTCACTGTGTTACCTGTGAGTTAACCCTCCCACAGGGTTACCTGTGCTGCCTGTGAGCGACAGAGAAAGAAGCTGAAGGTGGGAAGTCACATGCATCTCGGGGAAATGCCATGTACTGGTTACTCCCCATTAATGTTGCCTTCAGTCATTTCAGCTGAGCGCCAGGCATGGGATGCTTCGAAGCCTGTTCCAGAAACCAGGAAGAATTTGCACATTTGGAGAGTTCAGACTCATTACACAGTTCTATGAGCTAATGTGCTCTGGTAGTTTTTAAACTGATACATACGTAGTTTAGGTGCGCAAGATCACCACAGCCTGATGAGAAAAGCAGTCTTACATGTCTAAAAGTCTTTAAAAAGATGTTCATTTGAAATAGATCAGGTTAAATATTTAATTTACTGACTTATGACTGTGGTATGAGAAATGATATTCTAACAACACCTAAGCAACTAATTCAGGCTGAAAAAAGCCAGTAAACTCTTTTGTCGTGTTTACTTTTAACTTCTACTTTAATTGCAGAAGTATCTTGAGATCCTGCATGGAGTGGTCTGTTCTTAGTCATTTTGGATGATAAAAACAGACCAGTCAATCTGATTTTTCAAACTGCCATACTCTAGCACAATTCTATAGGAGTCTGGATTATAAACAGCAAGAGAAAATATTGGCCTAAGCAGAAAAGCTAATTCTATAATAAAAAAAAACTTTTGGGATTATTTGTTCTCGTCTTTTTTTTTTTTTTTAAACCTTAAAGTATTTTTTTCTCTGTGTTTCTTGTGTTTCTTTCCTACTACCCTTTCCTCTGCTCCTCTAGTCTCGCCCTTAGTCAACTCAAAACCCTAAATAATATGCAAATACTTGGGCTTTATTTCCAGTAGTTTGCAAAACAAGGAGTCCAAGCATTTTCCTAATGGATAGAAAACACATTGTGAGTGTTTAAAATTAAATAAAGCCAGCAAAAAAGCTAGATCATACATGGCTTTTACAGTCAGTGACTGTAATAGTAGTATTAAAATTATTTTATGGCTGTGTTCTCATAGTAAGACACAGTCTATGAATGATGAGAAATACTAACATATAAACTAAATATATTTCTGAATATACCGTATGTGAAATTGCAGCAGCATAGGGTGGCTACAGTGGCCTGATTTCAGATGGTTAAGCAATGAAGAGAAAGTACTTAAGCAGACTATCTGCTGTTTTGTGGTGATTATAAAATAATGATTAATGATACATAAATGAAGTCTGAAAAATAAGTTTAGAATCTGCTCAGTATATTTCATGTACTGTCCTTTAATCATTACATATTCCATTTCCAAATGCTTAAGAAGGAAAGCAGCAGCAGAGTTTAATATCTCTTAAGTTTCAGGCTTGTTTTTCTAAGTCAGACATAAACTCATAGCTAGGTATGCTGTTGTCCTAACTAGCACATGATTTTCTGTAAAAGAGAACTGAAAAAAAGAAGAAAAGCAAGCAACCCCCAAACTTTACATTAAAGAAAATCACCACATGCTGGGAGCACCCATGTCCCTAAGTAGTGTGTGTGCCCCTTCCTACTCCCAGCCCGCGGGGGTGGACAGGGGGGCCAGGCACGGCACCCTGCGCCAGGATGGGCAGCCTGCACAGAGTCCACCAGTTGGGCATCCGCCTGTGTTCTTGCTGAGCAAATTTCAGGCTGCTTTTCCAGAGGCTAAACAGAGCTTAAACCCAGGTCTAAAATGCAAAACTGCAGTAAGTTAAGATTTTTTCAGATATTAATTTAAACAAACAAAATGTCGAAGCCTTCACCTTTTATATAAGCTCATGTTTCCTTTCCCCTTGTGTTTTTTTAAACAAAAATCTCAGGATGGTTCATGCATATTATGGATACTAATGCTAAAAATACCTTTTTCTGCTATTAAGGTCTTAGAATCATTCGTTAACATCTCTCAGTTATCTCTAGAGGAACACAGTCTGAGAAGCTATTGCTAAGAAACTGCTGGCTATCCAAAAGATTTGGCAGAATTTCAGTGGAGCTTCCTTTAACAAGTTTTCTTATTTTATTTTTTTTCAAAGAAACTGCTGTTATCACTGGTGCTGTGTTCCCATAAAAGGGGTAAATTTTTATACTTACACTTTTTGCTGAGTGATGCGCCAGAGAATGCGGAACGTGTTTTTAAGTGTGCACATAGAATGTCAGGGAATGACGTTTAAATTTTGTATCTAGTTTGGTTCTAGGTATTACTTAAAGCAAGGTATTGCAAGTATTATAGATATTTTAGCATAATTTTGTGTAAAACGAGAACATCCTTCGATACAGCTCTTCTGGCACTGGTCTGGAAGAAACAGCCAGGCAGAAAGTTGCCAGATGTCACCTTTTCAGGCTTCGTCCCATCTGGAGTGAAGCACCCAAGCCCCAGCACACAGACTCACACCTACACGATACAGAGCAGGTCTGTGAATTGCTCAGGGGCTGCTTACCCACACCACAGCTTCCTTACGCTAGCAGTGCTGCCCAGAGAGTCAAAAGATTCTGGTCTCTGAGGTACTGCTGGAGGTCACCAAGTTTCTGGCATTCTTTTTCCATCTTCTGGTGCGAACGATCTCTGCTCTGGAACACTCACCCTTTGGCAGCCTGGTGCTGGCTTTGTTGCCTGTCCTGGTCCTGTGATTCTTGTTCCAACACTTCCTGCCATGATTCTCTTCTGCTCCTGAGAAAAGCCTACATAAAATCAAAGATGTTTACATATGTACAGCCAGCTTTCATGCTGAACTTCATTTACAGTTACCACTGGCAGATGTCAGAAATGGGTGTAATCTATGGAAATTCATTCCCTGCATGCAGAAAGGCTCTTTCTACCACAGAGATGGAGAATTTAACCTCCCATCTTTCATCTTTATACACATGTCAAAAAATGTTGCCCTTCATTTATTTATCTCTAAATGGTGTAGTTTATATGGGATATAAAACAGGTGAAAGACAAACACACTGGATGGTGCCACTGCTGGAAACGGGATAGTGCAGGGAAAATATTTCCCAAATTGCTCTAACCAGCTTTTCTTTTTCAAAGCTCCTTTCATTGTGTTCTACCTGCAACTCCTCTCTCTGAAAACGCTGTGTCTTTAAGAACTGCAGCTGCTGACTTGCCTTCCTCTTCTCCTCTGGCAAGGAGGATTCCTTCCTGCTCCTCTCTGCCCCAGCAGCCTAGAGCACTGTCACACTGCTGCAAAGCTCCGTCTTTGTGCTCCAGCTGTTTCTCCAGCTCTTGCAATGTTCCCTGACGCAATCGCTGCCTGTTTCCAAAACAAAATTTCTCAGAAAGAAAGAGCAACAAAAGAAGAACACAGTGCGTAAGACACAAAGCAGATCTTCTGATGATCTGTGCTCAGATAACATTCAGGGGCTCTTTGTTAGGTTATGAAGGTTAAACTTGTGTCCTAAATGGAGGTGCCAAAACCCCCAGGTGGGCTGCTCTCTGATGTCAGCTAACTGCAGTTGTCTGTTTGCCTGACCAGGTAACCAGGTGCAGCTGTGTGCTCTTGGTCCTGAAAACCGAGAACCAAGGAACTGGATTGTGCAGGCAGGGCTGTATGGCTAACCCGGACGACTAGGTGGCTACGTGTATTGGTGGTGGAGCCACAGAGGCAACAGAAGAGATGGAAGGAGGCAGTCATGGGGCCAAGGACCTGCTAAGCTTAAGTGGACTTTGGGGTCAAAGGCAGGGAACAGGGATTTGGGAACTAAAAGGACTTCAGGCCTGAGGACGAGATTGAAGAGAATTTGTCCTTGGAGGTACTGCTATAGGCTCTGGGTCCCTGCGTACCCACCCGCCTGTACCTCAAGCATTGGTTTTACACCCATTAGTAAAGCACCGCAACTGCTCTGCAGGGACTAGCTTAAGGCACAATGTGTGATGTGGTTCAGTGACTGAATGAGAGCATCAGGGAGCAGACGTTAACAACCTTCCAACATTTACTAGGAAAACCAGTTAGCTCCTAGGTATCACCTCTGGCTGTCCCTGTGCAGCCGGCACCGGGGCCCATCCGCCTCTTGCTGCTGCTCCCTCTTCAGGTGCCTCTGTTCCTCCTGCCACCTTTTGTGCTCAATCTTGGCTTTACTGAAGTCTCTCTCCTTCCATCTCTCCTGGGATGCGCTGCTGAGGATTAATTTCTAAGAGAAAAGCAAACCGAATCCTTAATCTCATCAGTATATTCTTCTAATGGAAACTGTAAACCTATAAAACCAGAACAGCTTAGTCTTCTAATATCACTCCTGAGCTCTGGAAGCCACACTGGCTCATGAATACTATCATGTCACTTCCCAGCCATGAAAATGCTGAGTATGAGGCCGAAACTTGTACAAAAGATTAGGCTTAGCCAACAAAGGGGTGCCTGAAAATCCAATTTGAAGAGCTCTGCACAGGTCAGTAGGCTCTGTTGTTCTCGTTGTTCCAGTGTTAGGCCAATGCTTAAAACTGCCCAATCTCTGTGTCAGCTTCTGGATTGGATGCAAAATACAGGCTCTGACCACAAATCGTATTACAGATTCCTTACTAGATTTTATTAGAAAGAGAAATAGCTGCCTCCCTCTGGCCAAGCACGGAATCTTCATGGAGTTCTGTGCAGATGTACTAACTCTCCATTTCCTGTTGCTTTAAGATTTTGAGCAGTCTTTGTGTTTTCTTCAGTAGTAGCTGCATTCCAATGCTGGGCAGTGTTCCTAATTTACATTCTTTAATGCGCTGTGCTGTAAAGAGATGAACAAGCACCTGCAAAACTTCTTTCCACAGCCATAGGGCATGATTTATTTCTTTTGTACTCCTACAGTGCCCTGTATGAGGGAGGGGGCAAGGAAACATCACTGAAGCTTAGACATGCATTCCAGTTTACATTGCTAGAGCTGTTTGGTGCTGGAATAGAGTTTCCACTAAATATTTGCCTTTCTCGAATGTATTCTCAGTTCTCCAGTTCACAGCTGCAACTACCATGTTCCTGCCATTAGCC